AACCAATATATGGGTAGATTTTTTTCTGGTTGAGACACAAATAACCTCGGAAACTCCAATGTATTCCAAACAAGATATATCCCGGAGCAGGAAAACGTGATTCGCTAGGGTTTATCTTGTCCTCGCAATCCGACTCGATGTTCCTGAGGTCCCTACAAAATGAGCACACGTGAACTACGCCGGGGGTTGATCCGGCGGAAACCCCTCCGACGCTCAAGTCAGATGTACGGATCGTAGAGAAAAGTGGAGAGAATAAACTTGTGGTTGATTATTAATAAAATGAGCACGTACCTTTTCAAATGAATAAAACTTCTATTTATATGTCGTTGATTAAGTTGGGCTTATTTTGTTGGGCCCAAGCCTTACTTTGAAGGTGCTTGGGCTTTCGTGTAATGGGCCCGAATATTCTCGTGTATTGGGCCTAATTATTAAATAAATTGGGGTCCATTGGGTCGGCCCAATTAGGTATATCATATATATATATATATATATATATATATATATATATCTTTATATATATAAAAAAAAAAACATTTTTTTTTTTTAAACCGGGTACCCGATCGGGTACCCGGGTAGAATTTCTATTACCCGGACCCGACCCGGTTTGGGATCACCGGGTACCCGAACTTGGGAAAAACCCGGTTACGTAAAAAATTACCCGATCCGGTCGGGTAATACCCGACCGGGTCGGGTTATACCCGAATAACCCGACCCGAATGCCCACCCCTAGGAGGAATCGTCTCTCCACAAATAAATTTAAGGGTAAATTGCATTTAACCCCCCTGTGGTTTCACGGTTTGGCAATTTACCCCCCTCTGATATCGATTTGGGCACTTAACCCCCTTGGGGTTGTCAAATTGTAGCGGCCGTCTAAAAATCCGTTAAAGTTAACCGTGAGTGCATCTCACTCGCCCAAAATTGAAGTGGTTGAAGATTTTCCAAGGTTATTTTTTAAAAATACCCATGTTATCCTTTTGTCTTGCCTTTAATAAAAATTGTTACACCAATCTTTCATTTTTTTCTTATTAAAATTATGTTTTACATTTATATGACATATTTTTTTATTCTAAATTAATTATTTTTCAAAATTACATATCTGACTTTATAATTATTTTATATTTTTCTTCAATAATCATATGTTTATTAAGCCTTTTATTTTTAAATAAAAAATATACCTGTATATAAATTATAAAACATAAATAAAAAATTACAGAAGAAAATTAAAACAAGGACTTGTTGAGGGCTGAAGGCTTTATCCACCCAAATCTAATAATAATAATAAAAAAAGAAAAAAAAAGACGACAAAAATCGAAAAAAAAAACAGGGCAAAGAAATGTGGATGTAGAAGATGATTGTTTTGGATATTGAAACATCCACCCGCTGCCGACCACCACCAATAGCCCACCATCAAACCGCTGCCGACCACCACCAATAGCCCACCATCAAACCGCCGCCGACCACCACCAATAGCCCACCATGAAAACACCACCGACCACCACCACTAGCCCACCATTAAAACGCCGCCGTTTCAATTTTCACTATCAAAATACTATTCAACCACTTCACAACGACATCAAAAATTCGCAGAAACGACAAGGGGATGAACCACCACGAAGAAAAACCGAAAGTTGCAGAGATATAGCTGAAGAAGAAAAAAATTGCGAGCAATGGGTTTTGAGGTGAAAATCCGAGCTGCTTTCTTTATTTTTGATCGGGTTTTCTGATTGTTTTAGGGAAGTGTTTATGAATATTTTGGAGGATTTTTTGATTTTTTTTTCCCCTATTCTTCTTTTCTTGAAGATGCTGTAATGACCGATTTGATGGTGAGGGAAAGAAGATATTAGGGAAAGAAGTTATGAAAATTGTAGTTTACTCCTATAAATTTGTGTTATTTATAATTAAATCTTTTTGAATTATATTTATTTAGTAAAAAAAAAATACAAGAGTTTTAGTCATGGTTTGAACCAACAAATAGTATATAAAAAAGGGCATTTCAGACATTTAGTGTTTTCCGTTAGTTTATTAAACGGCCGCTACAATTTGACAACCCCAGGGGGGTTAAGTGCCCAAATCGATATCAGAGGGGGGTAAATTGCCAAACGGTGTAACCACAGGGGGGTTAAATGCAATTTACCCTAAATTTAAAGAAGCTCAAATACACTTTGCTAGGGGTATAAAGAATTTGTACAGGAAAACGGGGCAAGGTTTCGTAAGCAAATTGTTGAGGACGTACAAACTGTAAAACCAAAAGAAAATTCAAAAAAAAGGAAAAACAATTTGTATAAAATCAGAAACATTATTGGATGAAACATTAAAAAACTTTGAGGCCAAAACCTACAACACCTCATTTCGCCACCACCAATGTAATAAAAAAAAATAAGAAGATGATACTAAAGCAAAAGGAAGCTCATAAGAAAGAGAGGACATACTGTACAAAGTACGAAAAATTATTAGAAAAAACATTGATGATGCTAAAGTTAGAATCACCTTAGAGAGTTGAATTATGATGAGCTGGAAGAGCATAGTGGATCACTGGCTCACGAGCTTGATGACCTTGAGATACCTACGATCATAGAACACGTAAGCTAAGCCGGGGGTTGATCCGGCGGAAACCCCTCCGACGCTCAAGTCAGACGTGCTGATCATAGATAGTCCAGAGAAGTACCCGAAAGAATGAGTTCAAACCTTTATTTATAGCTTAGTTGAGATTGTCGGGCCCAAACCTTACTTGAAGGTGATTGGGCCTCGGTGATAGTGGTCTTCGATATTGGGCTCATGGCCCAGTAGGTGAATAATTTGTAGGCCCATTGGGTTGGACCAATTAGGCTTAGTTGAGATTGTCGGGCCCAAACCTTACTTGAAGGTGATTGGGCCTCGGTGATAGTGGTCTTCGATATTGGGCTCATGGCCCAGTAGGTAAATAATTTGTAGGCCCATTGGGTTGGACCAATTAGGCATATCATTAAGCCCCCCACTCTCGAGTCGATGTCGGGGCCATGTTGAAATGGGTGTCAGATCGTATCGAGAGTAAAAAATGTAGAAGTCGATCGTTGGCGTATGGCCTAATAGTGTGCGAAAACTCGTTGGAGTGTGTGTCTGAGGGGGCGTGAAGGCGCGTCGGCGCGTAGCGCGACCAAGCTGTCGCGATATAAGTTATTTGAGTCGTCGGTGTCGTCCCGCGGCGATGTAGTAGCTCGGATCAAGTTATCTCCTCGTGGGAGTTGTCTCTTTGAGGGGTAATCGAGTTGATCGAGTTTGCTCCTCGTGGGAGTCGTCTCGCGATAATGTAGTAGCACGGAGCGAGTATTCTCCTCGTGGGAGTTGTTATTTATCGACATTGTCAATGTTTTGACGCGTTGCTTGTATGTGTTTACATATAGCCTGAAACGTGATGTACTTGAAGAGGGGATCAGGCTCTCAAGATTTTTTTTTATGGGGATCGTGCCCCTTGTTAGACCTCGTGGGTCGTAAGTATTTTTGGACCGTGGCCACGTTTTAATGGAGGACCCATCGAAAACAAGTAGATAAATTTTGAGTAATCAAGCTGGCCAAACTATCTAGATTCCCATAATATCTCTAAGTGTTTCTAGGGTTGTAATCGTGCTAACTTGAGCTTGCGATTATATAGTGAATTTCAGGCGAGTTGTCTCCTCATGGGAGTTGTCTCACAGCGAAGTTATAGGAGCATTGGACGCGCGACTGGGGAGCATGCGGATTCATGTCGCTCTGAGCGAGTAGTCTCTTTGTTGGAGTTGTCTCGCATCGAGTCTTATTACCGAGCGAGGTAGCTCCTCGTGGGAGTTGCCTTGCAACGGGTTCGTAGTGCCGAGTGATTTGGCTCCTCGTGGGAGTTGTCTCGCTGTGTGTTGTAGGACAGAGCGAGTTGTCTCCTCGTGGGAGTTCGTTGTCTCGTTGTGTGTTGTAGGACAGAGCGAGTTGTCTCATCGTGGGAGTTATCTCGCTGTGGGTTGTAGGACCGAGCGAGTTGTCTCCTCGTGGGAGTTGTCTCGATGTGTGTTGTACGACATAGCGAGTGGTCTCCTCGTGGGAGTTGTCCCGTTGTGGGTAGTAGTTCTGAGATAACTAAAGTTAAAATGATGATGATGCTAAAGTTAGATCACCTTAGAGAGTTGAATTATGATGAGCTGGAAGAGCATAGTGGATCACTGACTCACGAGCTTGATGACCTTGAGATACCTACGATCATAGAACACGTAAGCTAAGCCAGGGGTTGATCCGGCGGAAACCCCTCCGACGCTCAAGTCAGACGTGCTGATCATAGAAATAGTCCAGAGAATATAGTTAATAGTATTGCTCAGTTAATAGGACGTACCCGAAAGAATGAGTTCAAACCTTTATTTATAGCTTAGTTGAGATTGTCGGGCCCAAACCTTACTTGAAGGTGATTGGGCCTCGGTGATAGTGGTATTCGATATTGGGCTCATGGCCCAGTAGGTGAATAATTTGTAGGCCCACTGGGTTGGACCAATTAAGCTTAGTTGAGATTGTCGGGCCCAAACCTTACTTGAAGGTGATTGGGCCTCGGTGATAGTGGTCTTCGATATTGGGCTCATGGCCCAGTAGGTAAATAATTTGTAGGCCCATTGGGTTGGACCAATTAGGCATATCAAACACGAAAAACTCTCAAATATAAACAAAGGACAGTGGTAATGGAGAACGAGTCTGGGAAGAAATTAAATTAATACAAACCCAAGTGCTCTATGGGCC